TGGTCAAGAAGCAAACATGTAGCAAAAAGAAAGGATTCCCAAAGTCCCAGCTGCAAGCTTGCTGGAACGTCCTACACGTGGCCCAGAGACAAGACACAGCCCCTTCACCTGCTACCCTTGCTTCAGCGTGGGCTGTGTCACCTTGACCCAGATGCAGGCAAATGAATCCCGGAGCTCTGCCTGGAATGCAGACGACCCTTCCCTCTCCTGTTCTCTTTCCCTTCCCTCCTCCCCCATACCCACATCAGATGTAAGGAGGAAGTCACTCTCCTTCCATCAAACCCCACCGTGCCTCTTAGCATTTGTGGACTGGCAAGTGAAAACAGCTGGGCTCCCCAGCAGGTCTGCTCTCCTGCGCCCAGGCTAGGTCAGAGTCCCCGGTCTGGAGGAGAAGTAGCCAAGCCAGGCTGACAGATGGCTGAGGGTTTTCTAACTTGCCCCCTCCTGGGAACAGTGAGCCTCCATAGCTGTCCCTTTGTGGTGGAGGTGAGATTTTCTGGGTAGAATGTATGCCGAGCTGTGCCGGGAAGAAATGGCAGCAGCATAGCCGGGAACGAGGCCAGGAGGAATCTTGGTCCAGAGTCTCTTACACTTTCTGATCTTTGATCTCTTTTTCCACGCCCCAATCTCGGTAGCATCTAGATAACAATCTATGCACACACAGCACACCACAAGGGAACAGAACTCTTGCTTCCATGATTCAGGCATGTGCCACAGACATGCTCCGTGCTGTGGATCGGGTTTGCCTGTGGGAGATTGTTTTTATTGTTAAATTGATGTGGAAAGACTCAGCCCACTGTGGGGGGTGTCATTCTCTAGTAAGGGGGCCCAAACTATGTAAGAGGAAGAAGCAAGCAAGCAGGACTGTTTGCATTTATTTCTCTCTGCTCTTCGCTGAATATGGTACAACTAAATGCCTAAAATGCAGCCACTGTGACTTCCCTTCAGTGATGGCCTATAGCCTGGAATTGTGAGGCAGACAAACTCCTCCTCCCCGGAGCTGCTGGTGCAGCTGATGCTGGGGGTGCCGGGAGTGTTTGAGGTGTCAGGGGTGCCGGAAGTGCCAGGGGTGTGGGGGGGTGCCGGGGGTGCCAAGGTGCCGGGGGTACTGGGGGTGCTGGAGGTGTCAGGGGTGCTGTGGGTGCTGCTGGTGGTTGTCAACTTCATTGTCATCATCATGATATTTTATCACAGTAACAAAAGTGAAATTAGGACAGAAGACGTGAGAATTCTGTCCCGGGGTTCATTTACCCTTGGCCTCCACATCCATCACTGCCTGCAGGACTGGGACCCACCTGAGCATGTGACCCTGGTGATTGCTAACTCATCACCACATGGCTCACAGACCTGGTCATGGCCAGGCAGGAGCCATTCCCATGGGACTGCGCTCTGCCCTCCTCAGTCCCTAGAGAGGGGTCATCAGCGGAGGTGTTTCTGTCATCCTTAATTACAGGCCCACAGGACAGCTGTGAGGCAGGAGCAGCTCTCATTACTGACCCAAGCCTCCTTCAAAGGAGCTGCAAGTGGCGGCCTGAATAGTCGGCTGCCCAGGCCAGCCCTGCAAAGTGTCATTATATGGCTGGCTGTGATCAGAGCACCTACCTGTTAAGTGTGTTTGGCTAGAGAGGTAAACAGCTGCCGTATGCTCTGTACCTTTCATTAATTATGTCTGGTATTTGCTTTCTTTCCTGTTGGAATTGATTTGGGTGGCTGATAATCCAAGCTAATGAAGACAATTAAAACGCCAAGCATGACAAACACCAGAATGATTCAGAGCCTCCGTGGGGCTCAAGCCTGTTCACTAGGGCCAAAATCAGAATAATGCTGCCACCTCGTGGCTCATGATGGCATCAGGTTTTAAAGGCCAATGGTTTTACTAACAATTGAAATCATAGCATCTATGTATTTGACAGGGCAATAATGGATTGTGAAGTTTTCAGCACAGAATAAGCAAGATTGGTGTGGTGATGCACACATCTAATCCCAGCACTCTGGAGACAGGAGGAGTTCAGAGCCACCCTCAGCTACATAGCCAGTTCAAGACCAGTGTATGGTACATTTAAAAGTGAATAGATCACTTCTGAATAAATTCCCAGTGGAAGTTTTATAAGTTGAATTGCTGACCTTCCTTAATCAAGGAGATGCATGTCCACAGTCCCCAGAATGACAGTCTGTGGGATGCAGGAAACCCCACAGCCCCTATTCAGGAACGCAATGTATTTTTATTCCATGGCTGTCTGCAATTTGATTGATATCTGCATATCCAATAACAAAGCACTCCATGAAGCAAAAATTGTCACCTGCTTCCTTCTCCAACTGTAAGGTTTACAGGTATCATAGTAATGTCAGTTAAGGTACAGTAGTAGATAGGACTCCTGTGTCCTGTGTCAAAAAGTATTATTTACATGTGCAGTCCAAAATCAGCTATTCTTTTTTGGTTCTGTTTTGGTTTTTGTTTTGTTTTTTTTTTTAGACAGGATCTCTCTACATAGCCCTGGATATCCTAGAATTTACTGTGTAGGCCAGGCTGACTTCAAACTCATAGAGAGTCATCCACCTGCCTCTGTCTTCCAAGTGCTGAAATAAAGGTATATACCACCATACTCAGCCTCCAAAATCAGATATTCTTGATGAATCTTTTCCAGAGATATAACATACACTTTACTCAAGTAACCTGCCTAAGAATATAGAGAGCACAAAAGTCACAGTGTGTGTGTGTGTGTAGGTGTGTGTGTGTGTATATATATATATACACACACACACACGCGTGCGCGCACACATGACGGCAGGGGTTGGGGGCAAGGCATGCACACACAATTTACCCTGGCTCACTAGGAAAGCAGGTGCTATCAGACGGCGCTCTTTTTCACCGTGTGATTTTTATACAGGCTGAGAACTGGGGAGGGTTTCTTTCTGCGGCTCTTTATGAAGTTCTAATTGACAGGGGTAAGCCAGGAGTTTTGGCACATTTTCTGTGAGTTCCATCTTTTATTCAGTAGCTTGTAATGACTCCCTTTCATCTCCCTCCCAGGGCTGTCCTAGGATGGCACCCCGCATATTTCAGTGTATCTGATCAGCCCTCCTGTTAGGGGAACCAGAGCCGGGAATGGGGAGAGGTACAGGGATGGAAAGGAGGACAGGAGAGCCCCTGCCAGCTGCTGTGTGCCGCTCTACCTTTGAGCAAGCCTCACAGCCGGCTGTCTCCTAAGAATTTTGTCCTTTATACATAGTGTGGATTAATTGGGTATGTGAATGCAGAAATCAAGCTGTGTGTGCAAGAGAGGTCCTGTGTCTGTGCTTCCTACAGTATCTCGTGGTTTGCACCTACGCATGGCAGGTGTTTCCTAGGTCACCGTGATTTCAGTGTTTCTTCGTCTGTGTTTCAGAAACCTATTGCTGTACTGCTCACTTGAGAGTAAATTCCAAGCTGTTCCTTTCCATTAGAATGTTCTGGAACTAACCAAATGAGTGTCGTTGTGTAGATAAGACCTCTCTTACCACAGATAACGTTGGCCTAGTGTGCTCCTTTGTTTCCAATGTGCCTCTAATACTGAAATATTTAACAACAGTACCTGGGCATTCTCAAAAGCATTGTGGAGGGAACAGGGGGCTGCTCCAAGTCAGCCAGGGTTGCCCCCTGGACAGGAGCACAGCTGTGTGGGAGTCCAGGCAGCCAGACTCATCATTCGGGGCACTTGGACCAAATTCTTTCCTGCTTGGGTCCAACTTCCTTCTCAGTAAAGTGGGGCCAACAGTGCCTCCTACTGAGCGGTGGTGGTAATGAATGCGGAAGCGCCTGGTGGCATTCCTGGGACTCGCTGAGAATTTGAGTTCTTCACCAATCCATCTCACTTCCTACTGAGGGAGTGTCCTCAGCCCGAGCTTCCAGCCTCTCCTTTGAAAATGAATTACTGGGTACCCAGTAGCAGCTTAGTGAAGACTCCTCCTTGGAAGTAAAGGCATACTCTCAGTGAACAGCCAACTGCAGGTGTGCACAGATGCCCTGTTTAGTGGGCCACACTTGCCATACACCGTCGAAGGTAAAAATGGGCATGAGAAGCTAAGGAGACAGACGGTGCCGGTGTGGCAGGGGGACAGGCGGTGGGGCATGGGTGGAAAATAACATTACTGCAAAGTGTGTGTATAGGGCACTGGCAAGATGGCTCAGAGGTAAAGCCTCTTAGCAGCAAACCTGACAACCTGAGTCCTGTCTCTAAGACCCACGGTGTAGAAGGAGCGAACTGACTCTTACAAGTTGTCTTGTGGCCACTGCATTTGTCCCATGGGACATGTACACCTACACATATACACACACAGACACACACACACACACCTAGATAAATAAAAATTAATAAAAAATTTGAAGATGTTATGTATGTACATATATACATGTATACCAAACATTTTATACTGACCAGGATAAAGGCATATTACATCCAGTGTTTCCTTGCTTTGGGGTGCTTGAAATCTTTACTGAAGACTTTAAGAACCGCCTTCAGATATATCAAAATGACAAAGCACCCATTGCTTCAGAGCTCTGCTAGGCACTGGTGCGTCCTGATTGAAATCTCACATGAGGAACACAAACATCTGACCACGGACCTGGAAGGGTCCAGTCCCCAGGCCTGCCTGCCTCCTGCACACACCAGCCTGGCCACTCTGAGAGACCTGGCTTGTGACAGAAGGCTGTGCATTTCCAACCTGGGGTGCTTATGAACAGAAGTGCTGGAGGCTTTCCAGATTCCGAGAAATGGCTAGCGAGCCCGGAGAAAAGACCCAGGCCTGATCATGACGTTCATGTGTATCACATCATTGCATACACGAGCTGAAGGTAATTTTACAGTTTCGGTGTATGTGCATTTGATGTCATCTACAGAAGCTTTTGGTGTGGCAGCATGTCCGCATTCAAAACTTAGATTTGGGCTTCTTTCAGGATTTCCAGCTCAGGAATGCTCACTCTGTCTAGCAAAGTGATTGCAACTGTGTCCTTGTCTCTGCAGGACGATGAAGCCCTCTAGCCCCATGTGACCGCCTGTGAAGCGCTGCCTTCATCCGCTGGCCCCAGCTCCCACCATGGGTCCTGCAGGAAGCACACTGAGCGGTGGGCCCCTGCAGATGCAGATGGTTCTCTGGGGAAGTCTGGCTGCCGTGGCCATGTTCTTCCTCCTCACCTTCCTCATCCTTCTGTGCTCCAGTTGTGACAGGTTAGAACACACATGCCTCTCCTAGAACCTAAACATAGTCCTTGTCATTCCCAGAGGAGCCTTTGTACCAAAGAGTCCCTGGCCCGTGTTACAGGTTGGTCACAAAGGCTCCAAGGACATTCTTCATCAGTCCCTTGAAAACCCTTACTAATTTTCCTGGAGAGCAAAGTGGAGCCCTTCCTGATGTTTCAGATGTCAGAATGAGTTCTCTGCGGCTCTTTGAGCACATCCTTTATGTGTGCTGTCTTTTTTCTAGCCATAGGCAGATTGAAATCTGCGTGGGAGACACTACATCTCTTTCTCACGGTTGGCATTACTGAGGATGCCCGCTATTACATGGCTTGGGAGAGCTCATGGATTCTTAAAATTGCGTGTGCTGAGCTGCCCTTTATGAAGAAACAGATTTGTTTTCCTACAAGAGAGACTCACTGAATGTGGGAGCAATTTTTCCTTTTTAAGCATTACACTTGTCTCACTTTGCACCGGGAGAATTAGGGTTCTTTACAAGCAAGAGCGACTGCTCAGAAGAGTCAGAGATTGTTCAAAGTCTGCAGCTTTGGGGTATTACCGGAGCCCGTGGGGACCAATTTAGCCACCCATACCCAATTCTCTCAAGCTGGGAAGAAATGTGATGATATTTAAAAGCCCAATATGGATTCCACCCTAAAATCTGTCAAGAATGGAAAATCCAGGCCTCGTGTAGCCTATCCTGATCCCTGCCAAGCCTGGACCTAGGCCTTGACAGCTAGGTGGAGCCTGACTTCCAAGAAGACCACGGGGTCCAAGTTCTACCTCCAGGAGCCTGACAATTCTGCTGCCATGGCTCGCTCTCTCACTAGGTGTCACCCTCTCCTCACCATGGTAGAACGCTGTCTTACTGCTGATGGCTTGCTTTGGACTATCTGTGTGAAACACATCTTAGCTTTACTCACCGGACTTTTCCACAGACTAGAAGTACACGTGACTCTTCCTGCGAGCTTGTCACCTTCCTGACGGACATGCAATGTTGCATCTCCTGTACTTTCTCTCTTCCCTCACATCATGTGACTCCACAGACTCTTAAGGGAGAAGATGAGATAATTGTTAGGGTTTGCTGAGGAGAAAAAGCACCGTCTGCCATCTGCCTCCTCTGGGCACAGCCAGATCCTGCTTGCAGCCTGCCTCCTCCTCCTCCTCTGCTCGTGGGGGAAAGGGTGTGCAGGAAGGGGACACATCCTTGGCTGTCAGTTGTGACTCTTTTCCTTTCTCTCTCAGCAAAATAAACAGCTAGTTCATAAAACCAGATCAACATTAGGCTAGAAAAGCATGGCGCCTGTTTCACTTTAAGGGACACGTCTGTCTTCTTTTCATTCCAGAGAGAAGAAGCCAAAGCAACACAGCGGGGACCATGAGAATCTGATGAACGTGGTAAGCAGTGGTGTGTCTGTCTGTCTGTCTGTCTGTCCAGTGTGCTCCACCAATGCTCACAGCAGCTTCTGAAGGAAAGGCTGTCACCAGACTGGGCTCTAGCCTGCTGCCGGGATGTCTTCTGTCCCCTTTGGTCAGAAAGGCTGTCACAGGCACAAACTGGATGACTCGGAGCTCTGGAGAGCAGAGTTCAGCATCCATGGTGTTGTCGCGTTAGGTCCTTCCAGAGTTGGACCTGTAGGTCCTTCCAGAGTTGGACCTGTTCCTGAGTTCACACCTGGCCCTTGTCTCCACCTCTGTCCCTCATGCTGCCTTTCCCTCTCCAAATGTCTGTCCTTGGGGCCAAGTCCCCTACCTTCATAAAAATACCAAATATATGAGACTAGAACCCAGGCCACTCTGATGTAACCTCAGTCTTAGCCAGCGCCATCGGAAGTGGCCCATGGCACTGGAGACCAAGATTTAGGTGGAAATACAGCCATGGTCAGGGCCTGGGGCCCACGGCATAGCCTGGCCTTGCTGCCTTCCCCAGGCCTGTCATTTGATGAGATCTTAGTGGGCCCAGTCATCTCAGGGATCCACCCACCTGGGTGAGGAGCAGCCTGAGGGTGTCACAGTCTGTCTGTCCTTTGACTCAAGTCGTGCCCTTAGGCGGTAGGACAGCCCCAGCAGCTGCATCTACAGCCCGCCCCCCAGCCCCGGGGCAGTGCTAGGAGACAAGTTGCTTCCATGGAGGGGGGGGCTGCTTTTGGTTCCGTCTGCCTGGCTAGCTTAGCCCCAAAATAATCACACAGAAATTGTATTAATTAAATTACTGCCTGGCTCATTAGCTTTAATTTCCCATTGGTCAACTCTTATATCTTAATTTAACCCATTTCTATTAAATCTGTGTATCACCACATGACTGTGGCTTACTGGCAAGATTCTAGCCTATGTCCATCTCAGGCAGGAGATTCAAGGCAGCTGCCACACTGTCCTCCTTCCCAGCATTCTGTTCTGTCTACTCCACCTAAGTCTGCCCTATCAAAAGGCCAAGGCAGTTTCTTTATTCAGCCAATGAAAGCAGCACATAGTCAAAAGAACCTCCTACACCACTTCCTGGTCAGAGCAAGAAGGAAGCATGCATGCATCAAACTTGTGGCATCCAGTATATTTGCTCATGCAGAGCCCATGCAGGAGACACCAGGCTGCCTGAACCCCCACTTCGCAGTGTGTCTGTGACCCAAGCAGGTAGGAAGCTGCCAGGATTCCCTTCCTGGCTCCTCCTAGACGCCGGGCACTGGGTGTCTGTGTGAGCCCACTGACCTGACCCTCAGCACCCCCCTCCTTTGACTGATTCTCTCACGGTTTCACATCTTCTGCTGCCCCCACTTCTCTGTTCCCAGCTTCTCCATCTCTGCCTGGGATTGCTGGTATGATGGGGGGAAGGAGTACAAGGATGGAGCCCTGTTTTCCTCACCTACCACTTTCCCCAGAGTGAGGTGGATAGTGAGCCTGAAGCTAGGCATCCTCCTCTACCCTCATTTCCTCCTAGAGCAAGGGTTCTCAGGTATGACTGGACCATTAGCAATAGCACCACCTGGGAGCAGAGGAAGCCGGTGTTCAGGGATGGGACCAGCTCTGGTGTAGGTACCAGTATGGATCCCTATTCTTGGTCTGTCCCTGCCGATGTATCTGAGGTCAGCAGCCTCTGGTGAGTGGGGCAGGTGAGCAGAGGAGAAGGCAGTGTCTTCATCTTCTGTCTCACATGGGATCCTCCATGTGCCGACACACAACTGTGTCCTCTATGGTCTGCACTCACAAGAATGTGTGCATACACTGGCGGTGAGGCCAGCACACGCTGTTGCCCACCTAGTTCCTGAGTTTGCTAGATCATCACAGTTTGCAGATTTGTTTCTGTGGAGTTGGGAAGTAGTTGTTCAGACATAGATTATGGAAGTCCGGCCATGACAGGTTTTACAGGAAGCCTTCCCTTGATCCCCTGTCCTCTCCCCTAGGGACACTTTCTGTAGTGTGAGCATCTGGCTCGTGGAGCAGCTCATGCGAGCAGACTTCCTGGACACTCGGGCATCCCCACAGCAGGGCCATTTCCCGCCTGTTATTTGATTTCCCATCAGGGTCAGAAAGTTTGTGAGGCCAACTACCCAGGATTTCTCTGCAGAATACATCAGAATTTCCCGTGTGATATCCTGGAGCCTGGGATGTGCCCTGGGCAGCAGAAGCCATGAATGTGAAAATGATGGGGTCTGTCATGTGCCCATTTGGGTTGCTCTTTGGGACCAGTAGCATAAGATGCATCTAGGAGCAGCTTGTTTCTGCATGCCCCTCGTGATAACTCCACCTAGCATGCAGTTCCAGGCAGTGTCTGTACACCACCGTCACCCCAGAGGAGCAAACTGCCTGCCCTTCCAAGTGCCTGTGTGTCTTTTAGAATAGGAAAGGTTCGCAAAGCAATTTCTCAGTAGATGATCCTTTCAGTGACGCCTGAAGCCAGAGACTAGCCCTGGAATAGCCTCAGAAAGGTATGGCATTAAATACTGTACAGACTCAGTCTCTTCCTATCTGGAGGCAGCAGTGATACTTTGCTGTTTGTTTGGCAACACCTGTGTTACAAGGATGGCATTGATTTCTGCTGGGATCTGTTCTGACCCATACAAGGGTTTGTGGTCTCCTTTTGCCATGTACTAAGGAAAACAGTGTGCCTGTAGCCCGCTTGTAATGATGATGCACTGCCTGGAGCCCCGGAAGACTCCCAGTGCCCCTGAGAATCCAGAACCACATCTAAAATAAGCTTAGCCGTTCTCCATTGGTCAGAATGGTCCCACTTTGACACCTGAGTGTGGCTAAGTAAGCCATGGGACTCACATAATTTAATTCATGGATTCTGGGATTTGCTTATGACTGCTTTGATTTTAGGAGTGTCCTCTTCTGGTACCCAGCAGATTCTTACCAAAAGATGTGTTTGGGTTTTTCAGCCTTCTGACAAGGAGATGTTCAGCCATTCAGCGACCAGCCTGACAACAGATGCACTGGCCAGCAGTGAACAGAACGGGATGCTCACCAACGGCGACAGTAAGTTCTGCAGAGGTATCACTGTGAAAGTACTAGATTTCAGATAAGGTCGGGGCTGGAGTGATGACTCAGCAGTTAGGGCCACCACTGCCATCTCCACCGCCACTACCAATACCACCACTACCACCACCTCCTCCTCTACCTCCACCTCTTCCACCACCACCACCTCTACCTCCTCCATCACCACCACCACCTTTACTGTCTCCACCACCATCACCACCACCACCTCTACCTCCTCCATCATCACCACCACCTCTACCTCCTCCATCACCACCACCACCTCTACTGTCTCCACCACCATCACCACCACCACCTCTACCTCCTCCACCGCCACCTCCACCTCCACCTCCACCTCATCCTCCACCGCCGCTGCTGCTATTCTTCCAGAGGACTTGAATTTGATTCCCAGCACCCACGTGGCAGTTCACCACCACCCACTACTGCAGTTCCAGGGGATCCAATGCCCTCCACAGGCACCAGGCTTGCAAGTGATACACGAACATACATGCAGGCAGAACACCAGACATGTGAAATAAATATTTCATTTTTTTGAATAAAGGAAAAAGGTAGCTCAGAAATTAGGGAGTATTCTCTACCCGGTCACTATGACTACTAGTTTTAGCCAGAAATCTCATTTGCATAAAGACACCAGGAATCTGGTTGTTGGCTGCTGGGTGCCAGGAGCCCTGTTAGCAGTATGTAGTGGCACCTGCTCCAGCCTTGAGAGTGTCTACTCCTCCCTGAGTCCCACTGAGTCCCACGCTGACAGGCAGCACTCAGTCCCCCGTCTCCAGCCCCCAGCTGTGCATCACCGCAGACCTTGAGTGGGGAAAGTTCATTAACTTACGACTGTCCAGGTCACAAGTGTGAGCAGTATTAAAATCCAGATGCCCGCAAGCCTGCTTCCACTTCCTGCTAGGGGCTGATAGAGAACCACTTCTTGCTTCCTGCAGCCTTCTGCATCCCTTAGTCCGTGGCTTCTCCCTGAATCTCCTAATCTCCTGCTGCCCTTTCTCTTCTGCCCTTTGGGACCATTTATAATCCCTTGGGCTTGTCTAGGTAACCAAGTTCCTCTACCCATCTCAAGGTCGGCCGATTACACACGTGCACACACGCACACACGCATGCACGTTGGTACATGACACAGCATGTAGTTTCCATAGACTGGGATGTGGACATCTTTGGGAAGTCACATCCTTGTCACACAGCCATTAATAACCTGATCAAGGTTTGATTATCACAGAGCTTGGGGAATCTGTAACTTGAGCCAGGCAGCGTGATTCCAGGGCAGGCACTCACCATTCTGTACAGCGTTCTGTCTGACACACGGTGTACACTGACTGACAGGCGTAGTAGAAACAACTGCTGCCCGCGTGGCTTGCATTCCCTAAGGCAAGGCATCTTCCTTCCCCCTTTATGAAGGAAACTCAGGGTCATCAGCATGGCACCGAGTCTATAGGTGCCAGTGCCCCTCTGTGTTCTGGGACCAGATAACTGGAGCCCCACAGGAGCTGGAACCTGGGACTGCTAAATCCAGAGTGTTAGGGATACAGCATTATCCCGCCCATTTCTTTTTCTGTTCTTCTCCCTAACAGTTTATTTTACTTTCCATATGTGGATATAATGTATTATGATAGCATCCACCCTCATTACCCTCGCGCCCCCCCCCCACGCTCCTACCGACCCCTTCCTCTTCCCGGCAGCCCCCAACCCCCTTTCTTGTTTCGGTTTTCTTGGTTTGTTAGTGTTGCTGGAGTTTTGTTTCGTGGTTTAGGTGGAGGCCTCAGGAGCCCTCCCAGCTGGTACACTGTCTCTCCTTTCTCTAATCTCCCTAAAGAGGTCCACTTGAATAAGAGCTTGTCGTTTTGATGTGAGAATTCTGAGAGAAGGATTCTATTCTTCTCACCTCTGGATCTGTACCGGGTTGAACAGCCCCTGGCATCTGGTCAACACTCAAAATCCATGCGATAAGGACCGACTGCCAGGCATCATGGTTACCATTTTAGAGGCAGTCCAAGGACATGCTGGCTGCACTTCTGTGAGGCATAGTGTCTGGCCTTTGGTGATACGGACCTAAGGTGCATCACTGCTGCTCCCCCTCTGTCCTAACAGCCAGATGAAAGCAACCTGTGACATGGGACGGGCCAAGAAGAGCGCCTACTCCCTCGAGGGTAACACGCGTGCCCCATTTTTGGTATTTTGCCAACTTCGCTTGTTCTCGCAGGGCCTGGTGTGAGCTACAGGCAGGCCCTCTAGCACTGTGCCACAGCCACAGCCCAGGTTTGCTTTTCATATTGAGATAAGTTACCCAGTCTGACCTTGAATTCCGTCTTCCTGCCTCAGCCACTTTAAGCACATGGCCCTGCCTGGAATGTTTCTTTGATCCTGTGCAATGTCAAAACCTCTGCCTCCATGGGTCTCAGCAGAAGTAACAGTAAGTAATGATAGGAACCATGAGTCAAAGTATAGCTAGCCCGCATCGTTTATTAAATCGTGTGCGGGGAATACAATGGCTAGCTTCTCTTTAAATGGAATGGAATGAGATACGGCTGAGGATCAGGTTAATTACCACGGACTTGATGGTCTAGCATCGTGGCGCCCTGCACTGGTTATTACGCGTTGCTCTTCCTCTGTTGCTAACACCCCTCCCCCTTCAGTTCTTTCAGAAGACAGCACCTTGACCTGCATGCAGCATTATGAGGAAGTCCAGACCTCGGCCTCGGACCTTCTGGATTCCCAGGACAGCACAGGAAAGCCCAAGAGTCATCAGAGCCGGGAGCTGCCAAGGATCCCCCCAGAGAACGCCGTGGACGCCATGCTCACAGCCAGGGCTGTGGAGGGGGACTCGGGGCCCGGCATGGAGGGGCCCTACGAGGTGCTCAAGGATAGCTCCTCCCAGGAGAACATGGTGGAGGACTGCCTGTATGAAACTGTGAAGGAGATCAAGGAGGTGGCCGACAAAGGCCAGACTGGCAAGTCCAAGTCCACATCTGCCCTGAAGGAGCTTCAGGGCGCCCCCACAGAGGGCAAACCCGACTTTGCTGAATATGCCTCTGTGGACAGAAACAAAAAGTGCCGCCAGAGCATTAACGCAGAGAGCATCCTGGGAGCGTCCAGTGACCCGGAAGAGGAAGCCCCCCCTCCTGTCCCAGTTAAACTTCTGGATGAGAATGCAAACCTTCCAGAGAAGGGAGAGATGGAGGCAGAAGAACAAGCTCCGGAGGGGACCAGTGGACACAACAAGGTGGGCTTTTGTCCTGACGTGCAGGTTGCTGGGTCCTGGGACGTATGAATAATACTAGCAGGTCACGATGAGATGTGACCCGGGCTAGCGTAAACTGTGGTTGGCCATTCCACCCTCTAAGTCTTGAGACGCTGAAGATTTGTGCCTACAAAATCTTTCCCTCTCGTACCTCATTTGGGTAGTTTCCAGTGTTTATTTTATATGTTATTAAACCAATATTAGTATCACTAAGAACTAAACAGGCAAGATTCTTTGCCACACAGCACCTGTCTCCTCTGTGTGGCTTCCTTGGGCAGCGTGATAACTTTGAGCCCTTCAGAATCCCACAGCTGGAAGCACACTGGCCTGTGCAGAGAGTCCAGATGTTCAGGGTCTCTACTCACAGCTTGTTGTGTATATTTTCCTCTAAACCAACTCACGGGTCTTATTTTTCACTAATTTCTATGCAATATTTTTAAGTAATTTCTAAAAAGTTCAGTCAGCAGAGGTCTAAGATCCATTAGCAGTCCGCAGCCTTTGGCACACATGTCTCAACAGCCTCTGAGTCACAGGGAGCCCCACAGTGGATGTCAAAATGCCCCCACCGTGTAAGTAGGCCCACCCCACTTCCTGTTATCTAAAGAGATGAATGCCAGGTTATCTTCCAGTCGTAAGTTCACGTCCAGCCTCTGCAGGGAGGACAAGGAGGGACAAGGAGCTGAGCTGGTGATGGTCACCCTTCCTGTGGCTGTAGTGTGAGGTCATTCTTCACACTGTTCTGAGTTTGTCTCAACTCTTCATGTTATCTGTTGAAATCGGCTGCCGCAAGCACCTCCGAAGTATTTGCAAACATGTTCATAAACTGCGGTAAAATCCAAGTTTCTGCCGTTCCTATAACCAGAGACAAGGAAAGCGACGTGAGTGTGCGCTGCCTGGACTAGCGAAGCTCTTCCTAGTGAGCGTTCAGACGGTAGAAGGGTTGGTTTCTAGTGTTAGTGAGTAGTGTTCTGCAGATTCCGCGTTAGAGATTGGAGACCCACATCTCAGGATCCAGTCATCCCTCACCTCACAAGAGGGATCCTCTTCCATGCGAACCATCCCAGTTTTAACCAAATTAGGAAGATCAAATGTTTGATATTCCAAAAAAGATTTTATTGAGCGTCCACTACATGCCATATGGTCTTCTAGATGTTCTACACCAGTGAATAATGCAGAAATGGATGCAAATCCCAGGCCATATGGAACTTAAGCTTGGCGGGGAAGAGATAGACAGAATACAGTTTAAAGGGAAAAGTCACATAAGGAAGATTGGGCATAAGTTGGGTGGGGGTAGAGTAGTTGCTCCTACCTCTATATGAAGGGATTCTTGAGCAGGGTCTAGGGAGCCTGAGAAAGCTGGGCAGGTGCTCTTCCGGGCACTGTGCACTTTGGTCAGTGGCTGGTGTGGGAGGAAGGGCTGGGATAGTGAGCAGAGATGGGCAAAGATGAGAAGACTTTGCAGACAAGTATCTGGTTATGTCCTGGGCTCCTGGTCTGGATGAAACCAACAGAATGCAACAGTATAATCTATGCTGTGAAGGCTTCCCCTGCTCCAATAGCTATAGCTAGAGGGGCTCCGGGCAGGACAGAGGCAGCAGCAGTGATGAGAGGAGCGAGCCAGACCAAGAGCTGAGGGCTGGCACAGCCTGTGGGCACAAGGAACCTCCACAAACCAAGATAGAGGATCCCAGGAGGGCAGGAGCTGGGCGAGCTGCAGTCCTCTGCTCTAGTAATGTTCCGCGAGAGCTCAGGACTGGCCCCAGTGCTGCCACACCTCAGGGCAGCCGGGGACATGAATCGGCGAAGCAGGAAGGCTGGGGCTGGAGTCACACAGTGCAGAACTAGCAGGCAAACTGTTTAAGCTCGTGGCAATGGAGGTGTGTCTACTAGGACTGGAAGAGTCCTAAGAACAAGGATCTGGGGCTGGGAGAACAGCGGGAGAAACCAAAATAAGAAAATAACCAGGAAAGGTGGGGGGAGTTGCTGGAGACCTCAGCACACACAGGACAAGCCGTCACTGCCGTGGCCGTCATTTGGGACCAAAGCGAACAGTTTGAAGGTAGACACTTGGCTGAAGTGGGTTGGCTGAGGAAAGTTATCTGAGGCATCTCTGGACAATAGTGAGGAAAGAGGGAAGTACAGTTGTTTGTTTGTTTGGTCTCTAACGTGTTTATGTGCTGGTGGAGATGTCCCGCCAAGGGAGAAGAGCTGGTGATGGAGACAGTGGGAGAGGCAGAATAGCACTCACAGTCCAGTGTGTGGGGGGACGGCTGAGAGCAGGTCAGGCCAAGCAAGTTCACGTGTGGTAACCGGGAGGGGACAAAAGGACACCAGGGCCGTTATGGGGCAGGGGAGAGTCCAGAGAAATGTATTTTCCCCTTTCAGTTTTCTCAGAGAATCCAGAAGCGAAGCCATCCATAGGTGACTGAGGTAGTGCTATGGGGGTGGGTGAGGAGAACGAGAAGCTACCAAGTCGATGAGCCTGCAAGGAGGACTGGATGCAGGATGTCTTAGTGACATAGCCTAAGACACAGAGTCACTCTGAGGGCCTGCCCACTGGCTCAGAACAGGGAAGGAACCTAAGCTTCCCCACTTATGACTGACTACAGAGTAATACTTGCTAAAGCTGGAAGGAGATATCCCAGAAGGGCACTCAGGAAAGACAGTCGCATCACAACTGTGTTGTTGGATCCTTGGAATCTGATACTAAAAAGAAGAGTTTGGATGACGAATCCTGGCCTGAAAGGATTTCTAGGAACTGGGCTGGTGGAGGACAGAGAGGGCCCCGGTAACTAAAGGCCTGACTCAGTGAAAAGACACTGAGGGATGGTGGAGCAGACTGTCAGTGTTGGGGAGAGAAGGTGGGACGGGTGTGTTTTTGTTAGAAATAGTTAATAAACCAGAGCCCAACTTATAGAATTGAGAAACAAGGTGGGGGGGGAGATCTATAGATCACTGAGAAACAAAGCAGGGGTGAGATCTGTGGATCATTGAGAAACAAGGCAGGGGTGAGATCTGTGGATCGTTGAGAAACAAGGTGGAGGGGAGATCTGTGGATCGTTGAGAAATAAGGTGGAGGGGAGATCTGTGGATCATTGAGAAACAAGGCCAGGAGAGATTGTGAGATTTGTGGGTGTTCTTCCTGGTGATACTGGCAGGCTCTCAGATGTGGCATGCTGGCATGTTGTATAGAAGGGTGATATACTATCACCCTCCCCAAAGCCTGTTATCTCTCCCTTGGCGATCATGAGGAACCAAAACCGTGGGTTTGGGAACCACTGACTGATTTCCACTGCACACTGAAGTATTAGACCTCTGTATAGCATGGTGTGCTGGGCAGTCATGGGTGTGCCAGCAGCTGGTCCACGAGACACATGACAGCCTGCAGTCTGTAAAGATCCCGGAAGGCCCTGGTCTAAGCGTGGGCGTACATGAAGTCTGCAGAGATCCTCAAAAGCCCTGGACTAGACATGGTCATACATGAAGTCTGTAGAGATCCCGGAAGGCCCTGGTCTAGACGTGGGCATATATGCGCAGAAGGTAGGTTCAGCTATTGGCTTCAAACTGCTTTACTTTAATTTGTATTTTTTGACAGAGATTTAGTTCCTTGTCATACAAGTCTCGGGAAGAAGACCCAAATCTTACAGAAGAGGAGGTAAACTTCAATTGTTTTCAAATAACCAAAAGCATGTGTTTAAAAAATAGAGACATCAAGGGGCCCAAGAGCTGGTTCAGCAGTTCAGAGCGGAGGAGTTCAGTTTCCCAGCCCAGGCTGGGCAGCTCACAACACCCTGTCTCACCAACTCCAAGGGAATCCAATGCCTCTCAGTGCAGAAGGAAGGGCTGGACAGACATGAAGAGGAGGCGGAACTAGGGTCAGGAAAAAAGGAGGGCACTTTAGTCACCAGCCAGGGTAGGTCACCCTAGAAGGAAATTGGCAGCGGGCTGGAAAATTCCCGAAGTCAGGATGGCTGGGAGTAGGGAATTTGATCCTGCCTGGAAGATTGGGAAATGTCTCTGGGTGGAATGTTGGATGCAGGTCGCTTCAGGAAAAATGAAATCAGGCTAAGACTAACATTGTTTAAAGCCACCAGTAAAAACAAATGGTGGATTTCCAAGAACGGGGTAAAAACTGAGACTTTTGTGGTGCCTCCCAAATGTAGAAGCCATGACCATGGCACACTTGGCGCTAGGTTCAGATGGAGCACCAGACCCCTTCCCTACTCCCACTGTACGTGGCTGGAGTGGAATGCCCGCCCAGTGTGGACGGAGCACCAGACCCTTCCCTACCCCCGCTGTACGTGGCTGGAGAGAAATGCAATCCAGTGTGGGGGCTTTGTCACTGTATAGCTCTTGAGTGCAGTGTGGGAAGACGAAGAGTGAGTTCAAGGCATGCCTTCTTCAGATGACACTGCCTAAGCCCCAAGAAAGGAAATTTTACCCGTCTCCCTGGCTGCACAAGGCAAAACCTAGGAGTCATCTTTGAATCCTGTTGCCTCCCCATCCTCCCAGGTACAGCCAAATGCCGAGGTTCTTCAGGGACCTCCCAGCCTTCTGCCTCACACCTCCATCTCTGGAGTGCCCCTCATGGCCCCTCCCCATTCTTCCCCTCCCACTGAATCCCTTGTGAGTCTGCAGCTTCCCCCTCTACGAGTTTTCCACCAGCCGGGGTATCTCCATCTGGTCTTGTGAGAAACCCACAAAACTGGGTTTCTAGAGTTAGTCAAATACTACTAATCTACAGAAAGGAGATAGTGTGATTATTCTCTAGCGCCATACTTCAGAACTGATGTGGATGGCAAAGGGGACTCACGGGGGTGGGGCAGTGTTTCCGAGCACCTAGTGGGGAGGAGGGAGGTGGCTACAGACAGCAGCTCATTTCTCCTTCTTCCCTAGATCTCAGCGATGTATTCCTCAGTGAATAAACTCGGACAGTCAGCGCCCAAACCCGGACCGTCTCCGAAAGGGCCAGAGTTGACCTGTCAGTCCCTGCGGGGACCCCCACAGAGGTCATCCTCTTCCTGTAATGACCTCTATGCCACTGTGAAAGACTTCGAGAAATCTCCCAACAGCCTCTGCACACTTCCCTCAGCAAGGAGGCCCAGTGAGGAACCCGAGCCTGACTATGAAGCCATACACACTCTAAACAGAGAGGAAGAAAAGGTCCCTCTGGAGACCAATGGCCACCTTGTCCCCAAGGAGAATGATTACGAGAGCATTGGGGACTTGCAGCAATGCCGAGATGTCACCAGGCTTTAGCAACCCAGAAAGAAGTCTCAAAGAGCCTGTGATCCGGCTCATCCGGGACCACTTTGCTGTGGAATGATCATCAGTGTCCTATCGCTTTAGTTTTTTTAGTTAACCCAAGTCAAGCACAGGGGCACAGCTGTTCCCCAGTTTCTGAAGCAGTAAGGTACGGACCCACCTGTCAGGGCAGGACCCCATGCTCACAAGGAACCCCAGGTACATGTGACCTCCACATCCCACAGAGGAAGGCAGGCTGTGAGGGGAAGCTCCACCAGCCAGTGCTGAAATTCCATCTGCCGGGGATAGCTGCCGCCCGCCCTGTGGAGCCAGGTTTCCTTCCTCACTCTGCTTCTCTGCCTGCTACCAGTGCTAAATCATCCTGCCTCCCACCACTTGTGACCTGGCCACGTCTGTGGTTCATCCCAAGGAGGGTTTCCCACGGGCTTGGCACCATCTTCCGCTGGATGCTAGGATGGTGAGAACATGCCGCTGTTCCCATGGGCTTCCCAGATCTGCCTGCTTGTCCCTGGGCATCTGAACGGTACAGGCTATAGGTTGGGGGTGGGGTGTCCCTGCAGGCTCTCGGGTCTTTTCTCCTAATTTTGACGGTGCACCTGCAATCTTTCCACTGTATTTGAGGTATTTAGACACTTTTCCTATTTTTCGTGTTCAAACCTTCCCCCACAGTGTTCAGAAAGCTTCTCAGAGTTTCGGAACTCCCAGTGACAACCATGGTACTTGTTTAAGCCCAGGGCTCTTCCTTCCAAACAGAGCCTTAAGGTTTGTGTTGGGACCCAGACCACATGTGGACAGCAGCCATGTGTCTGTCCCCAAAGGGCTGCGGACATGAATTTGTATTTCCAGTGATGTCTGCTGCCCACATGTGTGACTTTCTTGTCATCGATGGTAATCTAAGAGTAAAGTGTATACATTTATTTTATTATATAAATTTATAAGATGTTTTATGTTTCATGCCTAATTTCTAGAAAGTGCCAGAAAATATATATTAACTATTTTGATTTTATGTATGATGATTTATACTCTCAATTTGAAAAGGCACCATAAAGCACATAAGCTAGATAATTATGAGTAGTTTTTATTCTTTTCTCTAACAAGTAATATAACATTGAAGATTTGTAAGGACTCAGCTTTCCAAATGGTATTGGGAGCTCCAGATCCAAACATCCAGGCCACTGGTGATACACATGCAGTTGGCATAAATGTCCGTGTCGAAGTGACAGACACCACTGAGACAGTCAGTGTTAAAAAGAAGGCACACTCTGGCTTCAGACGTTTGAACTTGCTGAAGGGCTCAGACTCATTAACGTCTATGACATCTCTAAGAACCTCAGTGGTGGTGGTCACCTTGCGGTACTTGCCAGTGCAGATTGCCTGTTAGACTTTTTTTCCCTTCATTTGACAAAAATCAGTGGCTGAAGTAGCTCGGATTACCAGTTCAGCCTGCTTTCGATTCAGTCATCTCTCTAGATCTTCCAAGGCCAACCTTGTGAACCGCATTCACTTTTCAGTCTTAAAGGAGCAGGCAGGAAGCCTTCCGGCACTGACGCAGACCGAGGCCATTCCCCGCCACTGCTGTGACTTCTGACTCTAACTACGTAATAACCATGCTGTGTTCCCTCCTTGTGACAGAGTGTGACTGGGAGGGGGAAGTGCCCAGCTTGTGGCCTGTGTTCCCATCCCTGTATTCATGAACTGACTTTGTCGCTGATGTGTACCAGGCTTGTGGGGCTGTAAACTCTCTTAGTGGTGTCAGTCAGCCCAGTCCACCCATGAAGATGCCACATAGATAAACAGAACCACTGCCAAGCAGGTGCCTCCCCTGCCGAGGAGCAGCAGAGGGCAAGGATCTTCCACAAACATGGACTTCCACGGCTGTGTATTAATGAGTTTGACCCAAGCGTCTCCCGGGTCCCAAGGGTCCCGTTGGTACATGGTGCTACCCCTGACACACGGCCCTCCCAGCCTGTGCTGGCCACACTGCCCTCCTTCCAGCTCAGAAGTTTGATTGTGCTTTATAAAAAGTCTTACTTAGCAGGGAAGCTGGTGTGGGCGCTAAAGTATTTAACTCTTTCTTTAAAGACAAATTGATTATAAACAATCATGTCACCTTGAAATCTCGTCGTCAGAATGTCCCCCGAGTTTTCAGATATCGTATGCAACATAGTCGTAAAATATGCACTGAAATCGCGCTGCTGGCTTGAGCAGCGGTAACTGGGTGGTGGCGGAGAGCACCTTGAGTGTACTTCACAAGGAACTGGGCGGAGGAGCAGGCAAGGAGAACAGCTCTGCTCGGCCGAGCTCGGTACGTAGTCACTGTGTATGTATTGCTGTGCCATCGCTGTTCGACCCGATTACCCAGGGTTTCTCCACTTCATTTTGCGTTGTTGTAACTTTTTACTCCTTTCCTTGACTCAAAGTCTGTGTTCCTGTCTGAGCGGGACAGAAGCACTTACCGCTGGCATCCGCAGTGTGCACTGAGCACACCCAGCCTATGTGAAATCATCCTTGAAGAGAAAAACAAATCATAAGCATTTTTCTTTAAATCAGAATTATAATCCTGTCTAGATTAGAAGCAGCTATTTCTTTTTCTTTAAATACTTTTAGAAGTCTGAAAGCATTCTCTGCTGCTTCACGTACGTTCCAAGTGTAAACTTAGAGAGAAGCAGGCTTTCTTATATGAAATGTTCAAGAAATTCTAAAAGAAAGTCATTTTTACAAATATGTTAGCTGCATATTTTTAATTTGTCTTTTTCTAAATCATGTCGATAAGCCTGTAAAACTTCTACATGATACAATATTCCCTGTGAGAAAAAAGTGTGTGAGTTTTCTACAGAAAATTCAACGGAATTGGATTCTCCCACAGTAAATTCTAATTGAATACTTAATAACAATAGGCCATGAACACAGAAGTAAAGTCTCCCCCAGCATGCCACAGTGCTTTCCTTAACTTGGTTTCCACCTGTATAATTAGAACACTCCCTGCCTTCACCAGCAATAAACTATATGTAATCACGTGTGTATGTATGTACCTATGTATGTATGATGTGTTGCTGGCTCTGGCACAGCCCTGGTACTAATTAGGCTGTGTTCTATTATATGTTTGGAAAGTTTATCCTACTAGTGTGATAAACTTGTGTCATAACAACAGAATTAAAAGAAACCATTCTCCATCAGTTTCATTTGGTAATTATGGAATACCTTTCTGAGATGCTTTTATTTAGTTTTCCCATTGAATACATTCAAATTTTAAATCGTGTTCATAATTCTCCCAGTGAAAAACAATGCTGTCTGAAGATGCCTTTGTTATGCTTTGACTCAATGCACATTCCGTCTGAGAAAAGGAATGTAAACAGGTGTGCTACTCAGTGTGTGTCAAGGAAGAGAGGGAGCCAAAAGCAGCCACAGAGAAGCGCTGAGCCTGGCTGGCAGGCAGGGCGGCCTCCTGGTAGCCCAGACTGGTTATCATGTGGGGGATCTAGTTTATTCCTTGTGAAAAGCCGAGCATTTCTGCAGGAGCAGCGGGTGATGGTGGAGTACGGAGCCTGTCTTGTGATTCCAGACTGAAGCAGGATTTCGTAGATGGGCAAATGACACTAATCCCGATGCTCCTTGTGATCCGGGGCGCCATTCTTCTGAAAGTGTTGGTCTCTGGAACACCCACAGCTTAGGGCTGGCTGCTGGAATCACAGTCTGTAATGATGGTTATTTCCTGGAGACCCTGAGAGGTGTATTACACTGAGCCAAGGGGACGTGGAAAGTGTGATGTTGGTGCTAGTGAGTGGCTGCTGGGAAATAGGATTACGTGTAGACAGAGTCAAACGTGGATTTCTTTACGGCAGCACCCGTGTCTCCTGCCTGGCCGGGGCCTGGCTGTTCCTCTGGGCATTGTTCCTGTCAGGACATCAGACAAGCTGAGAACACTCGTACACAAGAACTTCACTTCGAGAAGCTGGCCCAGAACCCAGGAAAATTAGCATTTTTATCTGGAATTAGGTAACAAAATATTAAAAAAAAACATGGTCCAGAAGAGAAAGAACATCTTTATGGTTTTTATCCTATTTTTGCTCATTTTCAAGTCTGTTTTATTTTTATATTTTATATTTTATCTCTAAATATTTGTATTTTATTGTTATTCAAGTTCTTTTATTTAACTGAGAAATATTTGTTCAGATTCTTGTGAACAGAACAAGTCTATTTAGAGGTGATACTGAAGATCATTCCCTTTAAATTCATTTGTCCTCGTGCAGACTTTCCCCTTGGGTTGTCACTCACATTCTGTGGGCTTTGTTTTAAGAGCTAGGAGCTGGGCATGGTAGCTCATGCCTGTAATCCTATAACGTGGAGAGTGGGCAGAAAGATCTGAGTTCAAGGCCAACCTGGGCTACATGGAAAGACCCTGTTTCTAAATTATTCTGGTCTCTCAGGTCAGCTTCTATGTGTGTAAAGGTTGGTGACCGCCCCGCCTCAGACTGCTGCGCGAAGCTGGCACAGGAAAATGCTGCCAGGTTGTCACCAACAGCCTCCCGTTTTCCAGGGGAGTCTGAAATACAGCCTGATGCACACACTGTCCGGGTGTCTCATTTAAGCCCCTCCCTCGTGAGGGCAGTTGAACATAGCATGTCTCTTAGGTTCCCAACAGTTCAAAGGCTCCTCTTACCCAAGAATAGTACAAAGTAACTCAAGACCCAGCTCCATCAGCAGCTGTCTGTGGATCTCTGTAACTGTCTGATCGTCCAGTCCACAGAGGAGTGAAGGGGTTTTCAAAAGTGAAAATGCTCAAACCTTGGTTTTATATGTGCAGAACCATCCACACTGCCTCAGAATCTTACAGGGTCCCGGACTCTGGCGTCTCAAGGAGGCAGAAGCACCAGGGTGTGAAGTCGTTCTTCCCGCCTCCCTTTGCTTGCTCCTGCCCGGATAGCCATCTGTCCATTTGTCCATCTGTCTCAGGGCCTCTTCCCAGCTATCCCTCTATGCTGTATCTCCAGGATGTCCTGTCTCTCCAACCAAGGATCACCAGCCAACGTGGAACCACTGACTGTGGCTCTGGAGTGACCACCTCTAATTCCCTGCTTCTTAGGGCTCCAAGGAAAGGTCACACAGTGACCTGGAAGCAGACATAGATGACCTTGCCCATTCCTGACACAGTTCCATGTTTTCTGTGTAAAACCCATTGGTGAACCTGACGTAACATTCCCTATCACTTGGGCCTTTTCCACTTCCTTTGTAGTGTAGGCCTCTCTCTCTCTCTCTCTCTCTCTCTCTCTCTCCCTCCCTCCCTCCCTCCCTCCCTCCCTCCCTCCCTCTCCTAAAGTCAGTCTAGAATATCAGTTCCCTGCTACTTCACAGAGGGCTGCCACCGCCCCCAGAGGACTGTGCAACCATTCCCAGTGTTTATCTGGTAGAGATGCTATATGGAAAAAGCCCAGAGCACTAAGTCTGGGGCTCCAAGCATTCTGAGTATTTTTAGTGCTTTTTTTTTTTTAAGTATCAAATACACATTTGACTCTGAAGGGGGACAGAAAATAAAACCTGAACTAAGTGTTGTGTAGCGTCCTGATTCTGTTTGTCTCTAAAAAACATACTGCCCCGCTCCCACCAGGCACTTGGAATCTCTTAAAGCAGTGGTCTCAACCTTCCTAGCACTGTGACCCTTTAATGCAGTTCCTCGTGTTGTGGTGACCCCCACCATAAAGTTATTTTGTTGTGACTTCGTCACAGTAGCCTTGCTCGTGTTGTGAACTGTAATGTAAATGTCTGATATGCAACCCACAGGTTGGGAACCACTGTCTCAAATGTAAACAGTAAGTGTGTATAAATGAGGACAATTAACTCACAATTTAAACGTGTTCTTTAGATATTTTCTTTGTAACTCAAGAGTAAGCCAAGTTTGTGGGTAATGTAGTATGGTCATTAAATCTGTAATCTGTAAGCCAGGAGAAGCAGCCTTTCGAGTATATTTTTTTCTAAAGACTGAACTGTTTCAGCTAGGAAGATCAGCTCCTGGAATAAAAGAACATAACTCCCAGAGCCTTTCTAGCAGAATGTGACACCTGTCTGCCAGTGTACCAGGGTGTTTGTTCTTGCCTATAGTGTTTCAATAGTTTGTGTGGGGGGAGAGCACATTTTGCAATTTCTTGGAAAAGTGAATTATGTGCTGAATTAAATCCTCCAGTTTAGTCTAAAGAGAGTTACTGGCTTTGGAGACAAGAGCACAGGGCTGTGGTCCCTGCTCCATCATCGACTTTCCTATGTGACCTCAAGCAATGATTGAACTTCTCTGTGCCTCAGTTTCTCCATATTACAAAATGGGGATAATGATAATCAACCACTGCCTACCTCATAGGGATGTTTGGGGACAAGTAGGATGACCTAGGGAAGTGTGGATGCTTTGCCCTCCTTGAAAGGTGCTACAGAAATTGCGTTGCATTGTTTTTAATGATCCAGTTAATTGTATTTAGGGTTAGATAATAGCAATACTTCCTGTCGTGTTTCAGTTTGAGGCACATTTCTACTCTTCTATGGCCAGATCCCGAGTTTCCATTCAGTGATGGTACCTAAGGAACTGACACGGGTGTGTGCTTTCTGTCTGATGGTAATATGTCAATTCTGAATGGTCATAAAGGCTAGACTTTAACTTGTGATGTTTTCTAGTTTACATGTAATGAACCTTACTCAAGTTGTCTATTAAAAGTATAATTACTTGTAAATAACAGGTACGTTGTAATTAAAGGCACTTATCAACTTGTCTTTGTTCTTTTTAAATTGTAATAAAGGTCAGTTTTATATAAAAGCTTGCTAAAATTCATTTGATATTTGGAAAGGTCAAAAATGACTGATTTATATGCTCTTAATACATACCAAATGAAAGGATGCTAGCCATCAACTGCCACCATAGCCAGAAGACTCTGCTTGATGACCAGAGCTAAGAGTGCTGTGGTTAGAGCCAGATTTCTGCAGAAAAAGCATCAGTGTTTCTGAGTCTAACTGTGGCTGACTCCAGGGATCTGCTGGACAGTCTGTGCTGTCAGGATCAGAGGGTAGAGCCTACTGAGAACTCACAATGGGGGGTTGAGCTTAGCACCTGTGTTTTGCAATTGCTAATAGACTTCCCAGGAAGCCTGAACAATTTAGGGTGGCATTGCCCTCCTGTGCCCCGCACCTGTAGAGATTTGCCCCAGTCTAAGAAGAAACTTAGTTTGTCTGAAGAAGGAAGGCATAGACCCTGGGGGCTTCCCTCAGTGGGCAGCCTTGAATGCTTGACTGTCTTCTCCTGACCAAGACTGGCCATAGAACCAGAAGGTGGGACAATGAGAGTTTCCATAACCCTGTAGGACCAAGGCCATTCTCCCTGTGAGAGCTAGAGCTAGACAGAGCCTTTCCTGAATCCTTAAATCCCAGAATCCTCCTGGGCCACCTGGGGAGCTGGAGTCTCAAGCTCAGCAATTTGGTCTGTGTTCTGTCACCTGGGAAACAGGACACACTTCAGGTCCACCAGAAGTGGCCTGCCAGTCCCCACTCAGAGTAGACGTTTAGCGAAGGAAAAGAGAAGTCTGACCTAAAGTCAGTGGGATGCAGTCCACTCATAGTGTCACTTTTAAAGGTCACCCGCTGAGTGCTTAACAGCTGCATTATGTCCGTCTGAGTCTGCGCATTCGGACCTCGGGGAGCACGCACTCATCCTTGGCCTTTGTCCGTCATTCTGGAGGATTACTAATCAGAATCTTAATGCTGAACTCCAGGTTGTGTGGAGCTGACTGTGGACCGGGCACCACATCTGTCCCCAAGACATCCCCATCCGTACATCCCAAAGTCATCTCGAAATGTCATTCTGGGGCAGAATCGTCTTTCTCAGCTGTCCCCTTTGCCCTTTGGAACACACTTTAGACTGAAGTGTTCCCGGTTACATATACTGCACTCCTGTTGTGCTCGGCGCTAAACAGTGTCTGCCCTGGCTCAGATTCCCCCACTTTCCTGTCCTCCATGGCCCAGGGAGCCTGGCTTGGACCGGTGTCTATCAAGCCTTGGTATTTTATTCTTGGGATGTTCCCCTCCTGAAATCTGCTCGGTGGCTATGAATCTCTGAAGAAATGGCAGGGAACCAAGACAAAGATGTTCTCCAAGTGAGACCAGCCCAAAAAGTGCCAGTAAAGTGGAGGGGGCTGAGCATCTGACGTGAAAATAAACTGCCTCGTCACCTGACAGAGCAGGCGCACAGACAAGAGATCCAAACAGACAGCTTTTCCATGCTCAGACCCAAAAGGAAAAAAGAAGTAATAAACCCTCATAATATTAAAGTAGGGAAAGAAAAGAAAAACCAAAGAAACCTTATAAAGGCACTGATTCATCTGTGCTGTAAGGCAAATGCCGAAACTCTCAGCTGAAAGCTCGTGGGTCACTCGAGCTTATATCCTTGTGGCCTTGGAGCCTACCTTCAAATGTTTGACATACATGTTTAAATTTCCAAGGTATGCAGTATCCCATTCCCACAGTAGGTGAGAGTCCCCAAAGGCCTCTGTGAGCAGGTCAGACAGAGATAATGTGAGACCACGGGGGTGAGCCAGCCACAGAACAATCCAGATGTGGAGCATTGCTGATGCCGGGATGGATGCCGTTGCCGGGATGGATGCCGACACCAGTGCCAGTGTCTGTGCCGATGCCAGAACTTCAAACCAGCTAGACAAACGTAGAACTTCCCATGCCTTCAACACCAGTCAGTGCTGGACCCTCCTGCCAGGTCCCCGATGCCTCCCTCTCTAGAGTACTCTAGACAGCCTTCCACAATGTCACCAGAATTCTCCAAAAAGCCAGCTTGTTTCCATCAGGAGAGAGAGAGGACAGATGGCTCAATGAGGTCAATGTGAAGGCCCTATTGTTTTCCAGACATAGTACCAGATCCTGGGGACACAGTTCCCCCAGAGGTGGCCTGGCAATCCTAATACACAGTACACCAAACACTTAGCAAGTGGACTTAGCAGAGCACGGACGGACGCCTGAGTGAGAGGAGGCCATGTCCGCCCACATTGTCGTTGTTTTTTTTTTTAAAGGAAAACTTATCAGTGTACCTTTCCTCATCAGCAAATACAATCTGTACACAGCTGGAGGACAGCTCTCTTCACTAATACCCATGTTCTAGTATACATCTGTACACAGCTGGAGGACAGCTCTCTTCACTAATACCCATGTTCTAGTGTACCATCTGTACACAACTAGAAGACAGCTCTGTTCGCTAATACTCTGTTCACTAATGTTCTAGGGGGAGTAAAGGGGAATTCATCAGATTTCAGGCCCTAAGTGAGAGACATAGACCAGGCCAATGAGAGCAAGCTGAAGTGGTGTGCAGGCTCAACTGGGGCAGGGAGAATGGCATTGGTCCTGCTCGATGGTGAAGGGGTCCCCAGACTACAGGAGACAGGTCTATAGAACAGAAGAAGCAAAACACTGAAAGAAAAGATAGGAGTACAAAGGAGCCTGGAAGGAAAAAAAGAGTGTGTGTTTAGGATCTCAAAGAAACTGTGATGATAAGAGTTTTTAAAAAAATCTAGAAGATGGGCAGAAATCAGAAATCAAAGGCACGGTGAAAAAAAAATGGCGTGGGATCATCTTGTGACTCTGGAAGCAGAGAGAAGCTGGGGAGATTTAGAACTGACCTGTAAAGACCGTCTTTTGATATAAAAATAAGATACAATTGGGTTCACAACTTATATCTTAAATGGAAACAAGTTTCAGAGCTGAATCCAGGAACCAATGAGATAGCACAATCAGCCAAGCACCTCTAAGCTCCAGGCCTCCGTTGATTCCCCAGGACAGAATTTGTGCCCCCACAAAAGCTAGATACAGCGGCACACATCATTTTAGCACTAGGGGTAAGGGGAAGGCTCTCTGGGTGCCACTGTATCTTAGAAACTTCCAAGCCAGAGAGGGATCTTCTCTCAGAGAAAGGGGGACAATCCCTGAGGGACAGCACCTGAGATTAAAATGCGTTAGTTATCTGGAGGTTTGAATGGCTGCCCTAGGCTCGTGCATTCAAATGCTTCCTCAACAGGGAGCATTACTACTGGAGAAGAAACAGGAGGCATGGCCTTATTGGAGGATGTGTGTCACTAGGCATGGACTTTGAGGTTTCAAAAGTCCAAGCGAAGCCCAGTGTCTCTAGCTCTTCCTGCTGCCTGTGGATCCTGATGTAGAACTCTCAGCTACTTCTCCAGCATCATGTCTGCCTGCGTGTCACCATGTTCCTGCCATGATGAGAATGGACTAAAGCTCTGGAACTAAGCAGGTTCCAATCCAGTGTTTTCTTTCCAGACTGGCCGTGGCCGTGGTGTCTCTTCACAGCAATGGAGCATTTACTAAGGCAGTTGCTTTTCTATTGCTCTGAGGAGACATCATAGCCAAGGCAGTTTATAAAGAACAGCACTTAACTGGGTTCAGAGAGTTAGAATTCAAGATGGTGGAGCAAAGGCATGATGTCCTGGAGAGCCTAGGGTTTTCATCTTGAGCCACAGTAGCGGGCAGAAAGAGCCAACTCAAAATTGCACACATCTTTGGAGACCTCAGGCAAATCTAACGCCTGCCTGCATTCTAGCTCACACTGGGTGAGAGAATGAGGCCTTGTCCCAATAACTAAATAAATAAGAATGTAAAATAGCTGTAGTCTTGTAAACCTACTAACTACTGAGATCCCACCCTATATGTTATGTTTAGTTAATTGTTCCAGCATCTTCAATCTTTCCAACAATCTAGGAATGAAAGTTGCTTGCTATTTTCATTATACAAATGAACAAACTGAAACACCACATCCAGATAAGTTGCCCAACTCTTAGGATTTGAACTCACGTAAACTCATTTCTAGTCTGAGTTCTGTAGCAAAATTGTTCTGTGGAAGAGTTCGATCAGGGTTTAGAAGCTTAAGTAACACAAACAGTACCTCCAAGTTATAAAGAAAGTTGGTGGTATCTTTGCACCCCTACATTTCTAAGAATTTTTATAAAAGCGTAAATCTGTGCATCCGGCTATGTGTTGTGGCTAGTACTGTAACCCTAACATTCAGAGGGCTGAAATAGGAGGATTCCAAGTTCAAGCCAATTTGTGCTGTCTGGCAAGCCCCTGTGAAGTTAAGTACGTACACGGGCAGAAGTAGCAACGTTTCTGAGGAGTGAGCTATGGCCTGGTCTCTGCCATGCACACAGTAGGGGCTCATTATGTGGTTAGAGTGGATGATAGGTAAGCAGAACAGCAGGGAGCATCTGTGCTGCTGGCCTCCAGGCTCAGTGGAGTGTGCTGTGGACCTGCATCAGGCAGGGGCTGAAATAAATCCTAGACATAAATTGGTGATAGAACTGAAGGGATCTGATGCCCAAGACCATGCAGAAAATTGTGTTTGTTTTGTGTTTAAAATGTGTATCCCAGGCTTTCCTCAAACTCCAGATCCTCTTGCCTCTGCCTTCTTCAACAAATCCTATTGGCCTGCCACCAGAGCTGACTGGGTTTTTTGTTGTTGTTTGGTTTGGTTTGGTTTTTGGTTTGTTTTGAAACTAGGTTTCTCTGTGTAGCTATCCTGGAAATCAGTCTGTACACCAGACTGGCCTCTAACTCAGAGATCCACCTGCCTCTACCTCCTGAATGCTGAGATTAAAGACATGTGCCACCACACCTGGCTACAATGCAGACAATTAAAGCGCTTGCCCGGTATACAGAAGTCCCAAGGTTCAATCCCCGTACTTACCACACGCTCCCCCAAAGAGTATTGGCAGTATTTGTAGCCA